TCTGTCTCCTTACATGGCCTTCTCTGTGTATATGAATGTCCTCTTCTGTCTCCGACAAGAACATGTGTCATTGGATTTAGGGCCTATCTGGTAAATCAGGATGATCTTATCTCAAGATTATTATTATTTTTTTTCTGAGACAGAGTCTCACTCTGTCACCCAGTCTGGAGTGCAGTGGCATGATCTCAGCTCACTGCAACATCCGCCTCCTGGGTTCAAATGATTCTCGTGCCTTAGCTTCCTGAGTAGCTGGGATTATAGGTGTGTGCCACCATGCCTGGCTAATTTTTTTGTATTTTTAATAGAGACGGGGTTTCACCATGTTGGCCAGGCTGGTCTTTAACTCCAGGCCTCAAGTGATCCACCCACCTCAGCCTCCCAGAGTGCTCAGATTACAGGCATGAACCACCATTCCCAGCCAATATTCTTAATTTTATCTGCAAAGACCATTTTCCCAAATAAGTCACATTCACAGGTGTATTAGTCCATTTTCACACTGCAGTAAAGAGTTACCTGAGACTGTGTAATTTATGAAGAAGAGAGGTTTAATTGACTCACAGTTCCACAGGCTTAAAAGGAAGCATGACTGGGAGGCCTCAGGAAACTTACAATCACGGTGGAAGGCAAAGGGAAAGCAAGCACCTTCTTCACACGGTCCCAGGAGAGAGATTGAGTGAAAGAGGACGTGTCACTCACTTTCAAATTATGAATCTCATGAGAACTCACTCACTATCATGAGAACAGCAAGGGGGAAATCCACCCTCACCCACCACTAGGCCCCTCCTCCAATTTGACATGAGATTTGGGCAGGAAAACAAATCCAAACCATATCAACAAGTTAGTATCCAGACGTATGTTCTTTTAGGGGCAATAGTGTTTCACAGTTTAACTCGCTACTCTGAGTAATCTAAAACTTGAGGTGAGTTGCTAGTGGGAGAGGAGAACGTATGTTGCCAGTCTAGCTGCAGATGTGGTACAGACAGACATTTAAATAGTCAGAAAGACTGGAGTTTATTTTTATAAAGGCAAATGGCATATTCTAATAGAAGCGAGTCTTGTCCAAATCCCATTTGATAAGTTTACTACTTAACCAGCTACTCATCCGTGGCACGAGGACCTTGACTGAAATTGTATTTGGGTCCCACTAGTTCAGACATCATTCTCAATCTCCCTTTCTTTTTCTTTAAATGAATACTTGAGGATTTTTTTTTTTAATAAGAAAAGATTTCTTTTACTCTTGCCCTACCCCACGAAGATTTTTCATCAATAAGAACTGAACTCATTCTAAGGAGTAAATACCATACACTTCAAGTAGTTGAGCAAAATATTAATTAATTAATTAATCATTTTGAGGCAGAGTCTTGCTCTGTTGCACTGCAACCTCCACCTCCTAGGTTCAAGGGATTCCCCCACCTCAGCCTTGCAAGTAGCTGGAATTACAGGCATGTGCCACCATGCTTGGCTAATTTTTGTATTTTTAGTAGAGACTCATTAAAATTGACTCATATGATGCTCCTACCTACAACAGTGCATTTAGAGGTTGTTTTAAATGTAAATGTTTTTAGTTTGATGTTCCTTAGAATGACAGAACTTTAAGAATGAATTCACTCTTCTGGATCATACATATTTTTAGAAGCATGAGTTTGTCATTTCAAAATGTGACATGGTATAAAAATGGTACATATAATAGACAAACCTTCATTCAGATAATTATGATATAGCAAAAAGTTGTATTTCTTTTTCAGAAAGAAAATTTCTAAGTACTAAGATAGATACATCTGTCACAAGAAGAGCAATATGGAAGAAACCCAACTATCTTTGTAATTTCTGCTGCTGATATTTCCCTTGAAAAGGGTCAATGAATCAGGTTTTATTAACAGAATATTTTGTTTTCTCAGGGCAAAAGGCAGGAATAGTTGATATTGCAAGGAAATATGAAGTAGCTATTAGAAACAGGAAGAGCTGTAGCTAAATATTAGGGGGAGAATCTGTGCTTAATGAGTTCCAGGCAGTTATATACAGAGAGAAAAAATATTTTTTATTTAATTTTAATTTTTTATTATAGATTCAGGGGATTCATGTACAGGCTTGATACATGGGTATATTACATAATGCTGGGACTTGGGTTTCTACTGAACCCATCACCCAAATAGTGAACATAGTATGCAATCGGGAGTTTTTCAACCCTTTCTCCTTTCCCTCCTGCCCCTTCTTTTAGAGTCCCCAGTTTCTGCTGTTTCCATCATAGCAGTTCCCACGTATAAGGGAGAACATGCAGTATTTGATTTTCTCTTTCTGCATTAATTCACTACAATAATGGCCTCCTTCTGCATCCATGTTGCTTGAAAGGACACGATTTCATCATTTATATAGCTATGTAGTATTCTATGGTGTATATATGGCACATTTTCTTTATCCAATCTATTGTTGATGGACACTTAGGTTGATTTCATGATTTTCCTATTGTGAATAGTGCTGTGATAGACATATGAGTGCAGGTGTCTTTTTGATAAGATGATTTATTTTCCTTTGGGTAGTTATCCATTGCAGGGTCAAATGGTAGTTCTGTTCTTAGGGAAATTTCCATACTGTTTCCCACAGGGGTTGAACTCCTTCATATTGCTACCAACAGTGTATAACTGTTCCCTTTTCTCTGCATCCTTGCCAGTATCTGCTACTTTTTGCCTTGCCTTTTTAATAATGGCCATTCTGACTGGAGTGAGATGGTATCTCATCATGGTTTTAATTTGCATTTCTCTGATTAGTGAAGTGGAGCAGAAAAAATAATACTTCAATTTGGATATAAAGACATGATGGTTAATGTAAGGCAGTATGGGGTGGGAAACAACATGATATGCAAAGGAAACAAGTCAATGGCTGCTCCATAATTGGGAAACCTAAAGGGGAAGATAGAAACACAAGCATTTTCCATAGTTATGCCTACCTAGAACATTCATAAATTCCTTGGTGAGAAGGAACTCACATTAAGAGAGGAACTCTAGAATATTTGCAGGGGTTTATTGATGCATTTAAATATATTTCTATTTTGCTGGCTGGGTGTGGTGCCTCACACCTGTGATCCCAGAACTTTAGGAGGCCAAGGTTGGCAGATCACCTGAGGCCAGAAGTTTGAGACCAGACTGGTCAATGTGGTAAAACCGTGTCTCTACTAAAAATACAAAAATTAGCCAGGCATGGTGGCACATGCCTGTAATTCCAGCTACTTGCAAGGCTGAGGTGGGGGAATCCCTTGAACCTAGGAGGTGGAGGTTGCAGTGCAACAGAGCAAGACTCTGCCTCAAAATGATTAATTAATTAATTAATATTTTGCTCAACTACTTGAAATGTATGGTATTTATTCCTTAGAATGAGCTCAGTTCTTATGGATGAAAAATCTTCGTGGGGTAGGGCAAGAGTAAAAGAAATCTTTTCTTATTAAAAAAAAATCCTCAAGTATTCATTTAAAGAAAAAGAAAGGGAGATTGAGAATGATGTCTGAACTAGTGGGACCCAAATACAATTTCAGTCAAGGTCCTGGTGTCACGGATGAGTAGCTGGTTAAGTAGTAAACTTATCAAATGGGATTTGGACAAGACTCGCTTCTATTAGAATATGCCATTTGCCTTTATAAAAATAAACTCCAGTCCTTCTGACTATTTAAATGTCTGTCTGTACCACATCTGCAGCTAGACTGGCAACATACGGTCTCCTCTCCCACTAGCAACTCACCTCAAAAGCTAATTCTCAAGATGGTAACAGATTTTGAGATGCCAAATCTAAATCTATCAGTTTTTACTATCAGCATCCATTCCCCTTTGTTACTGTGGTCCTAGACTCAAACTTATCAATCATTGCAATAATAGCCAATAAAACACCAACACATCATTGCAATTTATATTATTGTCTTACAAATTCTGCTAAATATAATTATAGTTCTTTCAGCTCTGGATAGTTCCTACTTAGACTAGGTGACTTTTTAACTAATCAGGCTTCATCCTATCTTTCATTTAGCTTTACTATGGTAGCATTTGCTTGCTTTCTCTACCATTTGTAACATAGATGACACAAGTTTAGCCTTCACATTACAAAAGAGAACTTGAGTAAATCCATCCTGTATATTCTTTTGTGCAACTTCTACTAATAAACCCAAGAGAGACACATCTCCAGTTATAGCTCTATATAAAATGGGACATTTTTTGTTTTTCAAAGAAAAATTCATAGGTGGCATATATTCAAACTATAATCATTCAAGCAAGAATGTTAGAAAGTCCTCCCACCCCCATCCTTTGTTAACTAATATGCAAGTGGAGTTCTAAGAGAGGAAGACCATTCCTTTGTGTCTAATCCCGTAACAGAGGGGAAGTGGCTGAGTCTCTGATAACTGTTGCTACAGATTCTTTAATCTGGCCAATGATTACAAATTGATGCATTTAATTTGAACAGTGATAGTTAAGTAGATTTCCAGATGACTCATTTTGTAAACCTTTGGCCATTGGCGTTCCAGCTGGAGTGGGCCATGTGCTGCCTTCCCGCTGACATCAGTGGAAATCTTGAGCCAAGATCAAAGCTACTTTATGCCTCTCTGACCTTTTCTCACAATGCACAGTGGGGCCTGAATTCTCAGCTCAGAATTTTCAGATTTGCTTCATTGTCCCCATGGGGGTTACCATTTACAAATAGCTTACATGTAGATAGTCACTGAAGACCCTATGACAGGCCCATTGGAAATCATATCTTAGATTCTGGTTTTCAAGCAGTTTCCTAATCCACAGCCCAAGTTTCAGACGAGATCGGGCGTGTTCAGGGTGGTATGGCTTTAGACCAGATCCCAAATTTCAGAAAATCTTATGAACAATTGTTTCCCTAAGACTTTAGTGAGTAGAGAGAGAACTCCAGCAAGGTGGATTGGTAGCATTCATTTTGCCCCCAGAGAAACATACCACAGTCTGCCTTTACTTGAGAGATGCACTTTGAGAATCAACCTGAAGAGAATCCCTTACCTTGATAGTCATGTCTGGGTCGGATGTTTCCGTGACATTCGAGGGTGACTCACATTCCTTTAGCAGCATATTCTCCCACCCGACTCCTGAAAAAAAAAAAAAAAAGAGTGCCATTTGAACCAAGTGATTCAGCTGACATGGATACATAGTTGCTGTTTCTCAGATTCCAATCCCATGTGTTTTGTAAAGGTAGCTGATGATGACCTACACCTATCTTGGAGTTACTGGGCCAGGGAAACTTCCTTTCAGGGGTGTAGTCTCCTAGCACTTTTGTTTTTAGGTAATTTCCAATTTAGGATCCATTGTCTAAGTTCTATATCTTATAGAGAGCTATTCCTAGTCCAGGGTGGAGAAGAGGCTGGAATGAACTTCTTCTTCTTCTTTTTTTTGACAGAGTTCCACTCTTGTTGCATAGGCTGGTGTGCAATGGTGTGATCTCGGCTCATTGCAACCTCCGCCTCCTGAGTTCAAGCAATTCTCCTGCCTCAGCCTCTTGAATAGCTGGGATTACAGGCACCCACCACCACACCTGGCTAATTTTTTCATTTTTAGTAGAGATAGGGTTTCACCATGTTGCCCAGGCTGGTCTCGAACTCTGGACCTCAGGTGATCTGCCTGGTTCGGCCTCCCAATGTTGGGATTATAGGCGTGAGCTACCGCGCCCAGCCATGAATGAACTCTTTCCTCTTCTCCTGTTCAGGCCTCATATTTAGGTGGCATTTGGGGCTTTAAAGTGAATCCCAGAACACAAAATTACACACATCCAATTCAATAACCAATGAATATGACTCCAGATTTTCCTGTATTCTCAATTCCACATACCTACTGGAAATACCTAAGAATGTGTTTTCACTTTTAAAATCTGCCCATGCTCTCTCTCCAAGTCTTTAGAAATGTTTCTTTCTTCTAAAGCTACCAGATTGTCTCCAAGAGTGGACATCTGGCAAGACACAATATTTTGTTTTCTCTAATATCAAAGAAGAGATCAGGGGCTGGTGTGGTGTTTTCAAATACTTTTGAACACAGTATAATAAAATTGCACAATTCAGATGCAATTATGTATTCAGATGTACTCTACTAGACTCTGTGCTAAATCAAGAACCCAGAGATGTGTAAGATTACTATATTCCAGCATTTCTAGTAAGAATCAACTGAACAACAGGTGATAAATGACTAATAATTGCTTGAAATTACATCATGCTTTAAATAGACAAATATGAAATTACATTTTAACATATTAGCACTGGCTATAATCCTTGAGAGCCTCATTTCACAGGATACATGCACAATGAATTACTCAAGACCTGTGGGCTCTAATTCATTGCATGGTGCAAATACTTGCCCTCTCTGACTAGATTGCAGAAAGTGGGTCAGAAGAGTGTTGTGCCTTCACTTACACTTTCTTCTCAAGAAACTGCTGCAAGGAGATTGTCAGCTTTGTCTTAAATGCATGGTTCTGGAAGAAAATCTTTGCTTCTATATGAATAGATTATTTCCTTGACATATTTTGCTTTTAACCAACTAATAACCTGGTTTAAGCCACTTTTGGCACCTGTTGGATCTGGCTGGCAGAGAGACACAGATGTTGGGCATGATGAACAATCAGATGATATTTCACTTATACAATAGTCTGAATTACTGTTCAGCAAATGTTCACTCTTCTCTTTTGCTGTGGGAAAAATGGTCTTCCCTGTCTCACTGATGTTGGCTTTGGCCAAAGGGATATTAGAGGGCATAATGCAAGCAAAGATTTGAAATGGGCTTATGGGGTGAGGCTTGCACTTCTGCTACAGAATGAGAAGGGCAAGCTCCAGTTAGCCTGCAAGGGAATGAGAGTCCTGGGGAGCAGATCTGGATCTAATCTGCACCTAGAATACAAGCCAGATCTAGATCAGCCAACCCCCAGCCAACTGCGTATATACAACAAAAAAAGCCAATGAGTTTTGGGATGATTTGTCAAGCAGCATTATTGTAACAATAGCTAACCAAAATTATAAATGAAAATCATTATAGGGCAAGTGTTTTTACTTTTAACTATGCAAATATAATTCTGCATATAAAAGTTTCATTTAAGGCCGGGTCTGGTGGCTCACGCCTGTAATCCCAACACTTTGGGAGGCCAAGGTGGGTGGGTCGCCTGAGGTTGGGAGTTGAAGACCAGACTGACCAACATGGAGAAACCCCATGTCTCCTAAAAATACAAAAAATTAGCCAGGCATGGTGGCACATGCTTGTAATCCAAGCTACTCAGGAGGCTGAGGCAGGGGAATCACTTCAACCCAGGAGGTGGAGGTTGTGGTGAACCAAGATCGGCCATTGCGCTCCAGCCTGGGCAACAAGAGTGAATGAAACTTCATCTAAAAAAAAAAAAAAGTTTCATTTATCAGTCTTGGTTCTCATCTCTATATATTATTTCACTTTGGAAAGAATTTTTTCTCTGCTATTATACAATCATTCCTTTTGTAAGCAACACTCTCTTTATTAAAGGCTATATGGCCCTAAGAAGGAGATGTGAGACATAAATATATCTGTTGTCTCAATATTTTAGTCGTCCATCAAGAAAACACTTCAAATTAGATAACATTTCATAGCAAGAGTAAGAGAAAACAGACATAGCATTTTAGTTTAAAAATGCTATTTTAGTTTAAAATGTTTTAGAAATAACACTTTAGCTTAAAAATGTTATTAATCCTGATGATAAGTTGTGAGAACAGAAATGTTATTTTAAAAGCTAGAGGTGTAAAATTCCTTCCAAGGAGGAAACTGTATTTTGGAGAACAAAGCAACTCCATGGACCATTTGGGTGTGAAAAGGTGGGTCCCACATCACAGAAGGAAGATAGGAAGAGGTGCAGTTAGAAGAGGGAAAGAAATTGAAAGAAGTTAGGACAAAAATTGGCAGTAAGAAATTCCCAGGGGGTAACAAAAAGGACTTTCTTTTTTTTGAGACAGTCTCGTTCTGTCATCCAGGCTGGAGTACTGTGGCATGATCTCAGCTCACTGCAACCTCTGCCTCCCAGGCACAAGCGATTATCATGTCTCAGCCTCCCAAGTAGCTGGGATTGCAGACACCCACCACCACGCCCAGCTAATTTTTGTATTTTTTAGTAAAGATGGTATTTTACCATGTTGGTCAGGCTGGTCTTGAACTCCTGACCCCAAGTGATCCACCTCACTTAGCCTCCCAAAGTGCTGGGATTCCAGGTGTGAGCCACTGTGCCTGGCCTAAAAAGGACTTTTCAGAACAGCAGTGTTTACAAATTCATTTTAAATTATTTATTATGTTGTGTAATGATGTAATTCTTCCCTCACTCTTGTACCTATGGTGGAGATCTGTTCTACACCAGTATCTTGTGCCAGAGTTGTCTGTTGGAAGCTGAACGATGTCCCACATTTGGACTTGGGGATGGAAAGAAGAGAGCAGCTGTGTGCCCCTGGGATCTCCCTGAGAACGTGGAATCAAAGGAGGACACAATGCTGAGAATCTTGGAGAAAGCACTCAACCCACATACTGCACACAGTAGCCGACAGGCCAATTTTATTTGGATACCAAGGGGCAGGAGACCCTGTCATCTTGAGGACTTGGAGACAGAAAATGACAGACACTGCTTTATAGGAAGATGTTTATGCATCTGAAAGTGCCACTTCCCTTTTCCAAAATGGTGATTTCCATTCCACCAACATGTAATGCACTGGGCTACCAGTGGGTCGGAGGACAGCTTAGAATGCTGATTTGTAATCCCTGCAGCTCTAGCATTTTAGCAATGACTTTTAACATCTGCTTTCATGTTTGAGTTCCTGACAAGAGTTTCCCCTCAACTAAGATCCATGGTTTATAGCTTTAGCACCAACATTTACACAGCTTAGATGTTCAATTGTAAAAGACAGATATTCTAGGCTGATGTATTTCTATTTTTAGTTACACAAACACAATTTCCTCTGGTTTTAGGGGAAGAACCTATATAAAGCATCTGACCTAAGAACATGGGGAAAAAAGTATATATATATATGTTATAGAAATATATATAAATCCTATATATATTCTCTCCATATATAAATTCACATATATTCTATACATATAAAAATCTATACATAGTCTATACATACATACATATATATATTCTATATAGAGACTATAAAGAGAAAAATATATAGTCTATATATTCTCTCTATATATGAAATATACTTTTGTATATTTATAGAATATGTAAATATAATATATATGAAATAGAATGTATAGAACATACAGAAATATTACTACAGCAAAAATGGGCCATGAGTGGGGAAAAAAAGAACCTATAGAAATATAGAGAATTTATATATTCTATATATAGAATTTATATATGTAGAGAATTTATATAACATACATTATATATCATATATTGTTATATTAACTATATATTCTATACATAAAAATATGTATATTAATTGTATATTCTATCCATAGTGAGAAATACATATTTCTACATACTGTACTTTCAAACAACGATTTTCCTCTTATATGCCCATTCTCACTTTGCTGAAATTCTTATTTATAATGTCTTTGAGAAGAGAAATTATATTTATATTATTCCTATAAATCTCTAGCAAGACAACTACAAGTTTTATTCAATTTTTAAAATACAAGACCAAACCTTGAGGAAAAAAGTAGCATCTCTCACCCAGAAAAGAATAAGTTTGCATTTCCCAGCAATAGGAGCAATTGAGACCTGTCTAGTTGTAGCCAAGGTTATGTTTATAAATAGCCCATCAGAAACGGTTTTATAAAGACCTCTCAGGAATAAATGAAATCTACTACCATGAATTTTTTTTAATCGCTTTTTATACACCTTCTCACCTAGCTGCACAGTCAGAAGAGCAAGTCCATTAGCCCAGGCTTCCAATTCCCTGGCGCCAGCATCTGCGTCTCCATTCACAGGGAGTGCTGTGTTGACTTATTGGCTCCCCTCTCTGCTACTGACTTCCGTTGGGAAGAGTGCATGTGAGGGCAGACAGGGCTGTGCCACAACAACAAAGGGGCTGAGTTCAGGCCCCGCTGGAGAAGCCAGGGACCCACATGAGGACCCGCAGGGAGAGGGATCTGGGCT